AGTCCCTCATGTTCCTCGGCCAATGTCTCGAAATCTCCACGCAGTCGACCGTCGGCGCGGACGGCAAGCACGGCGGGAAGATACCCTACCGGCAGTCCAAGCTGACGGAGCTGCTGTTCACAAACAGCTACAATCCGGCAACGGAGCCGCAGATTGCCAGCATCATCGTCACAGCCGACCCCGCCGGCGACTTTAACGCGACGAGCCAGATGCTAAAGTACTCGGCGCTGGCGAAGAGCTCCGTCAACCCACGTCCCCCGATGCAGGTGCTGAACGGCAGCCGGAATGTTAGCGCCACCAGCCAGATCAGCCAGATCAGTCAGGGCAGCGGAATCAGCGGGTCGACAGCCATCGCGATGACTTCGGACGACGGGGTCAGCAACAACGGACGGCCGGAGTCGGCGATGGCTCAGGACGCCGCTGCGAATATGATCGCCGTGCTGCAGCAGCAGCTCAAGCAGGCTGAGGGGCGGAGGCTGGAGATGGAGCGCAAGCTCGCCGAGGCGAACCAGCGGTGCCTGCAAATCGAGCGGGAGGTGCGCGAGGAGGTCACGGGCGATATGGAGCTGCAGATGCAGCTGATGCAGCGCAAGATGTTGAATAAGCTCGAGGAGGGTGTTGAGCGCGAGGAGGAGCATCTGGACCGCAAGCTCGACATGCTCAAGCGGACCCTGCTAGGTATGTTCTATCCGTTGATGTTTCTCAGATTATCCCGCTTTGGGGCCCGTGCTAATTATGTTGTCTAGAATCGAACGATGAGAATGATCGTGCGAGAGACGTGGAGATTGAGCAATATGTGCGCGAGCTGGAGGCGGAGAACTACGCTCTGCGGACGGAGGTGCAGTCGTTGAAGCGGAAGCGCGTGAATGGCGACAGTCCGCTTAAGGAGCGCTCTCTCAACCGCCTGAAGTTCTGATGACGTTATATCTCTCTATATTTTTTTCGTATATAGTTTTTATTCGGTTGCATTTTTGGCTGTTTGTGTTTTTCGATTTGATTTTTTGATTTCATGAGCGGGTGTTCCGGTTTTTGGATGCATGGGCGGGCCGGTGGTGCGGATTGGTTTGGATTGGCTATATATACAGATACCTGCGATGTAATAATGAGCGTTTATGTTTATGACAGACAGCATTGGTCGAGTCTTGAAAATATTTCGTTTCGATAAGATTGTAATAATTTGGTGGGATAGTAGTAATACAGGATGGAGAAAATAATAATGTATAATGAGAATAGCAGCTCGCTCGTGCATAACATACATCTACCACTAGATACAGAGGTACAAGATCGCTCGCTCGCTGAAAGCTAGATGATGCATCATATCATATCATGAAGAGAAATTTACAAAATATGTCAGTCAGTCCTTCTTGGTGTACCAGGCCCCCCCTCCACCGGGCCCGCCTCCGCCGCCGCCAGCAAGATTGTTGATACCATTCGTCACGAGCGTATACGCGCCCTTCGTGCCCGCGCTGACGCCGTTCGTCATGTTACCCAGCGCGTACCCGCTGCCCGCCACGCTGCCGACACGCACCCGCCTTAGCCGCTTGGGGAACTCGAAGCCCAGGAACCAGGCGGTGCAGGCTATCGTCGTGCATATCGCCGTCAGGATGCAGTACATGAATGTCGACAGCGTGACGTGCTCGCCGTAGCAGCGGTTGCGGCCCCAGTCGTTAACGGCGGAGTCGGACAGCGGCAGCTCGGAGCCCGTGTACCAGCGGATGTTGAAGCGGAGGGGCAGGTCGTCGCCGATGATAATGCGGGTCGAGTCAATGTTTGGGGAGATGGAGTAGGCGGTTGCGGAGTCGATTGTGCCCGGTGAGAGCAGCTCGTCGCCGTCGCTGGAGGAGAGGATGCCGGTGTGTAGGATGACGTTGAGGGTTGTCGAGATGTGCAGGTGGCTTAGGTCCAGCTTGCCGGTAAGAGAGATAACTGCTCGGTTTGTTAGTGTCGATGCATATGATGGTTTTCTTGAGATGCAGAGGAGAGGTGGAACTCACTGAATGGGATCCACTCGCCGGCCTCGACGCCGACGTCGCCGGTGATTTGGCGGTCGCCGGTCTGCGGGCGCGCCGGCACGCGACAAGCTAGCGGGGAGTCATTGTGGATGTAGAATTCCCACAGGTGGAAGGTGTCGTCGCTGATGGTCTTGACGGTGCAGTTGACGGGGTCGTCGGAGAGGTACCGCAGTTCGAGCGGGCGGCCGGTCTCGTTGCAGGTCAGGAAGGGGATGTATTGCAGGATGCCGTGCTCGTCCGCGACATGCTCTCCGTTGTCGCTGTGGTCGATGGTGTCGCGTCAGCTTTTGAAAAAGTCGATGAGATACAGATTGACAGCATGAGAGGAGCTTACGTCCTGTTGAGGCAGGTTATGGGTACTGCATCGCCTGGGGCGTATGTCGCGAGCGTCAGGTCCTCCGACGAACTGGAGACGGCGAGGGCGAAGGTGACGAAGAGCAGCAGCGGGAGCAGCGCCGACAGGAGAGCGTGGAAGTGGAAGTGCTGCATTCCTAGACGGTCATCGCAGGTGGCGGGCGGGCGGGTGGATTGAAGCCTCGTGCGTCCCGCTGGAGATGCAGATGGAGATGGCGATGGGGATGGAGGCGGCGATGGAGGTGACGATGGAGGTTGAGGTGGTGAAGCCAGCCTGTCGACGAGAGCAGCCAAGGTGAAAAGGAAGGTATCACCCAGCAGCACCAGCAGCACCAGCCATCCTGCACGGGAGACGCCTCCTTCTCAAAGCACTGGAATTCCAGTCCCACAACATCGGATTGCAATCGCCAGAATGCACATCTTCAGCATCCATCACCCAGTTCGACGTGCATCTGCATCTCGAAGCCCGCGCATTGTGCAGCTAGCTGCGGGGACCGGACCAGCTCGCACTCGCATCTGCAGCACGTAAAGTAAGTGCTCGCCAACCGTGGTTCTAAGTCCTTAGTAACTGGACCTTCATGCGCGGGCGATGGCGTGCTTGTGCGTGCCCGAGTTCGGGCCAGCACCGCCGCAGATTTCACTCACTCGCCCTCAACAGAACAACATCTTCAACCATCCATCTCATAGAAACCGGATGCCACGACTGCGACTGTCCTCCGCTGACTGACTAGCCCGTCCCCGATTGCGTCTCTCGACTCGCATCCGCGCCATCGCACCCCCCGCAATCATGTCTGCGGAAGAGCTGGGGAAGAAGCTGGGCAAGCTCGACATCGACGGGAACAACCTGCCGCCGTCCCCCGCGCCGTCCACCCCGCGAAACGGCAAGCGGTACGCCCTGGCCACAGAGCTGGTCTACACCGAGCATGGAGACCAGTACAATGCGTCGTCCATGCCCATCTACCAGGTATTTCTGAAGTGCCCCTCCTTCGCGTGTGGCATTCTCGATCGCTGACAGAACTATACGCAGACGGCGACGTTCAAGCAGACCTCCGGTGCTGGAGGCTCCGAATACGACTACACCCGTTCCGGCAACCCCACCCGCTCGCACCTCGAGAAGCACCTTGCCAAAATCATGTCTGCGAACCGCTGCCTGACAGTCTCGTCCGGGATGGCCGCGATGGACGTCATTTCGCGGCTGCTCAGGCCTGGCGACGAGGTTATCGCGGGCGACGACCTCTACGGCGGCACCAACCGTCTGCTCAAATATCTGAGCACCCACGGCGACATTGTCGTCCACCACATCGATACCACAAACCCAGAGAACGTCAGAGGCTACGTTAACGATAAAACAAAGTTGGTGCTGCTGGAGACACCGACCAACCCGCTCATCAAGATTGTGGATATCCCATCGATCGCCCGGCTTGCTCATGAAATCAACCCGAACGCTCTGGTAGCCGTGGATAACACCATGTTGTCGCCACTGCTACAGAACCCACTCGATCTGGGAGCCGACATCACCTACGAGTCCGGTACGAAGTACCTGTCCGGTCATCACGATTTGATGGCCGGTGTGATCGCCGTCAACAACTTGCAGCTCGGCGAAAAGTTGTATTTCACGATCAATGCTAGCGGCTGCGGTCTCAGTCCGTTCGACTCATGGCTGTTGATGAGAGGAGTCAAGACGCTGGGCGTCCGCATGGAGAAGCAGCAGGCGAACGCGATGAGAATCGCCACATTTCTGGAGGACACCGGCTTCAGAGTGCGATATCCGGGGCTGAGAAGCCACCCACAGTATGACCTGCACTGGAGCATGGCTAGAGGTGCCGGAGCGGTTCTCAGTTTTGAGACGGGTAATGTGGATGTTAGTGAGAAGATCGTTGAAGCGGCTCGGCTCTGGGCCATCAGCGTCAGCTTTGGCTGTGTCAACAGTCTGATCAGCAGTATGCATCCCCCCTTCCCTTTGTTGTATAGCTCAAAACACTCGAACGTACAAATGCTGAAGTTTGATAGTGCCCACTCGCATGTCGCATGCTTCGATCGATGCAAAGACCCGAAAGGAGCGCAACCTTGCCGAAGATCTGATACGGCTATGCGTTGGAATCGAAGACTGCGAGGACTTGATCGACGACCTGCGGACAGCGGTAAGTAAATATGGATGCCATACATTCATCCCTGCATCTTCTTAAAAGCGCGCCTGACTGACAGCCCTGACTATAGTTGGTAAAAGCGGGAGCGGTGCGGATCTCGCCAGATGGCATGCGCGCAATCGACTTTGCGGCTGGCGAGACGCTTCTGTAGGAAGGTATTTGCATTTCTGTATAACATAGATGGGAGAATGGCGCTTCAAGTACATTATTTTGAGTAACGATTGTATTTACGTATACTTTTTACGTGTGCGAGCATGATTGTACACAATTACACACATATTTAGAGCCTCGCGGAGCCGCATGCAGGCCTTGACTCCGATTTATACGACTTCCTTTAACATTCTACCAAACCCAGGCCCTCCTAATCTGATTTTCAGGTTGATCCCAGAGCACGTCCTTGGTATGTCGATGATCCAGACCAACCTATTCGTTGCCACCAATCCCCGAGAAGGTTTATAACAAACTTCTGAGACGAAGCAGACATGATGCCGACGTGGTTTAGGGGTATAATTCTCGCTTCGGGTTTGCCCACTCGTGCCAATCACGAGTCAACAGCGAGATCCTGAAATGTGAGAGGTCCTGGGTTCGACTCCCAGCGTCGGCCTCTTTTTTGCTCCCGGCACCGGCGAGCTGCTATTTTTGGAGCCGCAGGGTCCTGTTCTCGGTTGGCAAACCGACGGCGGATGAGCATCGGGCCTCATCAGCTGTCATTCCATATTTTAGTTCAACTGATTCTGATATATATATTTATCAAGTACTTCATATTTATTTGAATTTCATCTGCTAATATACAACTGATATTGCTATTTTGTCTTCTGCAGCCCGCGGATATTCGGTCCGGGAAGCTTGGATGCATATGCGACAGCCGATGACTAAGCCCTCGTTCTCATAAGCCTCGTCAACTTCGAGAAGGCTGTCGAATCTTCACATCTCTCACACGCATCCTTCCAAAGCAAACTGTTGTAACGTCTCAGAACGCGCTTTCCCCGGTCCGCAATCATTACAAAGCGCCATTACGCGGCCCGCCTCTCACTCAACTGCATCTATCCTTCCCGCCGCTATAAGTTCTCGTGAACAGGCGCACAACCCCCGCCAACGTCATGGCGTTCACCACAGATACCAAAGGCAAGGGCAAGCTCGTGCCCACGGACGAAAACGACAGCAGTTCCCCGATCATGGATTCATCCGGCGACGTGACGGCCATCGGCCAGCACTGCGACGTGCCAACATGCCATCAACTTGACTTTCTGCCGTTCAAATGCGGGAGCTGCGAAGGGTACGTTGGCCGTTGAATCTGAGAGTATGTCCCCGCGCGGGTACCGGTACTCTTATAATATTTTATTATGTACATACACCGGATGAAGAGGTTGCAGCTAACTCTACGATTATTTCTGTAGAACATTCTGCCTGGACCACCGCACCGAAACCGCACACACATGCCCGAAGGAAGGCCAGTGGGCTGCCCGCCGGCGGCAGAACTCCCTGAACAGCAAACCGACCTCGCTGGTATCCGGCGCCGGCATCCGCCTCGGCTCCTCGTCGACGCCGGGCCCCTGCGCGAACCCCGAGTGCAAAACGATCATCAACACCCCCAAAATGATCGGTGTGGCGTGCCCGGCGTGCCGGAAACAGTTCTGCCTACCGCACAGATTACCCGCCCAGCACGACTGCAAGCCCGTCGTGAACCCCAAAGCCGCAGCGGCCCAGCAGACGAAGCTGACGGCCCTCAGCAAATTCAAGTTGTGGGCGAGCAGCAGCGGCTCCAAGCTGAAAGAAATCCAGGCGACGCCCATCACGCAGAAGCAGAAGAGCGTAGCAGCGCGGATGGCCGAGATGAACAAACTCAAGAAAGAAGCAAAGGGGGATGCTAAAGTCCCGCAGGAGAAGCGGCTGTACCTGTACACGCAGGCGGAAGCCAAGTCGACGTCGGCAAAGATACCCGAGGGCACATTCTTCTACAGCAAGGAGTGGAGCGTCGGCAGGGTGATGGACATCACCGCGAAGAACCTACAGATCCCCAATCTGAACAACCAGTCGGCGGACGACGAGAAGAAGCTTAGGGTGTTCCACGTCGAGAGCGGGCGGCTACTCAGCTTTGGGGAGAAGATCGGTGAGGCGTGCGTGGACGGTAACACCATTGTGCTGTTACGAGGCATCAAGATGGACGAGATGGTGGATCTCGAGGGGTAGTCGCATTGCGTTTTTATACCGTATACCAGCATCATATCATATATATCATTCACGTCGTACGCCAACGGCGTAGCGGCATCACCAGCATTGTCAGCAACTTTTTTGGTTCTTGTTAGCGGGCGTTAGCTGAGGGCCACTTCATGTATTGAGTAGGACAATAAATATACAAACCCAAGTTCCGGTGTTGTATCACCGTCACAACGCAGAGGCTTCAAGATGCAACAATACGCTCACGGAGTGATATCCCCTCTAACACCGTTAAACTACCTCACATGCACTTTTCGTCCGATGGCACATGGCTCCTGGAACGTACACGTGTTTCGAAATCAACATGAGATAGCTGGTATAGCTACAAGACCAGGGACGAAGCTATGAAATGCTGCCATCTCCTAGGCCTTGGCCTCGCGGCCGTCACCGACGGCTTCATTCTCGGCTTCCAACTCGCGGACGACCCGGATATCTCCCTGACTGCCTACCCATACGCTGACCGCAATGCCGAATTTGTAGACACGACCGAATGCCAGCCAGGGCCCTACAGCGACAGCGACGTCCTCGCCGTCGGCGTCCTCAACGCGGTGCCGCAGCAGATCAAAGCTAACACCGACAGAATCATGTACGGTATCGCGCTATGGCAAACCACAGACTGCGACGGACCGCCCACGCTGCTCGTTGGCTGGCGGCCCAACGAGCGGGGCATGCAGATTGCAAATTTATTCAGCATCGGTCTGACGATAGCCGTCGGTTCGTGGGTTGAGTTGGATGCCGATAACGTGTATTTGGGGAGGAGGCCCGAGGGTGGTTTCGTCCTCGATGTGCGCGCGGAAGAATACTACACGTACGAAGAAGGGCAGTGGGTCGTCCAGAGCGGTGAGATGAAAAGCTTTAACGGCGCGCTGGACGAATTGACGGAGCGCGCGGCGGGGATATACGCGGCGTATACGGTGGCGGAAAACAGCGTTGGAGAGACGAATCCGACGGAGATGGTTGAGGAAACGCGGTCACAAACCGTAGTCGAGTCGATGGTCAATGAAAACAACTTGGGGCAGGCACAGGAGGTGGAGATCGTGGACGAGCCGTGGGATACGACGCAGCCGGGAGGGTGGCCGCCGGTGCGGTGGGATGAGAGTAGGATGGCATCGCCGTTTCCACTTAGCACCAGCGACCTCGGTCAACAGCGGCGGCCACTCCTCACGAGCCAGCAGCAACAGCAGCAGGAGAACCCAGATAACTTTGACGGGACTCTTGCACGGCTGGCGTACAATTTGGGGAGTCGGAACCCGATGGTGTCGATGGGCGACTTTGAGAGAAGCTTTGAGAGAAGCTACCCCCTTATGGAGACGTATCTCCAATCGCAGCGGAATTGGCTCGAAGAGGAAGTGGGGGCGCCGACCGGCTGGCAGCAAGCCCTCAGCCGGGCGTTTAGAAGCACCGATATTCCGGCGCGGACTACCGCATCGGAAATGGATGCGGGTATCTCGGGCATGAGGGTTGAGGAAGTCGAGCGGCAGCCGCAGAATCAGGTGCAGCCGGCCAACTTGCAGATGCTGGGTAACATGTTCGCATCGCAGCCGCTCGTCAGCAATCCTGTGCTCTCGACTACTGAACAGCGCGGGCGACCGGTCAATGAAGGTCGAACATTGGGCAGCCTGCGGGACGAGCTGATGGGAATGGCGACCGATGAGACAATGCCACAGGAACGGGACAGCTTGTTCAGGCTGAACATGCTTGGACCGCCGCCAAATCCCAACGTGAACTCGAACTCGAACTTGAACTCGAACTCGAACTCGGACACGAACAGTCGAATTAATGCACAGACGTTCCGGAACCTCCAGATTGATAATCGCCAGCCGCAGCCCGACCGGTTTCTCGAGGAGTATTCGCCGCTGACCGATTATTTCAGTCCTGGTGCAAGCGACTTGCAAAGTCCAGGCGGTAACGGCTGAGGAGGTAGCCCTGGTCTCTTTTCTTTACGCATTCATAAATTAAAGTGAATCCGCGGTGTATGCGCGAAGTTATGGTGTATGAATAATCAAATGGGTAAGAGGAAGGCAGATAAGTGTCTATATCGAGCTAAGTGATATCTATCCTACAGTTTTAGGTACATGAATGCTCCGTAGATAGTGATGTATATAATTTATGAGATCCGAAATAAATATATCTCAAATGGTCAGACGATATAAGATGTCATGCAACGACTCCACCGGATTTGAGATTCTCAATGTCGTTCATCGAGAAGCCTAGCTCGCCGAGAATGTCGTCGGTGTCCTGACCCAACGCTGGTGGTGCCCGCCGAATCGACACTTCGGCATTCGAGAACTTGAATGGCGTATTGACGAGCTTCACCGGCCCGCAGACCTCGTGTTGAACTTCCTTCACCATACCGCGAGCTAGGACTGTAACAAAATGACACACACCTGTTAGCTTGCCATGACATTGTTGATCAGGCGCAATGTATACGTAGGTATGCATACCGTGTTCGTGGGTCAGGGTGTCGTGGACGTCGTTCACGGCAGCGTAGGGCATGCCGCTGCCCTCGAAAATATCCAGCCATTCCTAGGATATTACCTCAAGTCAGTATTGACTCGATAAAAGAATCGATAATCTACGTCGGTAGATAGAATGTACCTTTGTAGTTTTTCCTTCGGTGACCTCTCCAATCATAGGGACGAGCAAGTGTCTGTTCGCTACCCTCTTCTCATTTGTCGCAAACCGCTCGTCGACAGCCCACTCTGGACGCCCGATCCGGTCGCACATTATTCCGAACAATCGGTCGTTCCCGCCGCCGATGAGTATGTTGCCGTCGGACGTAGGGAACGCCTCGTAGGGAACAATGCTAGGATGCGCAGTACCCCAGCGCCCGCCGTCGCGCTGGCCGGATACCAGGACGGAGGAGGCGATGTTGGCCAGCGTTGCGACCTGGCAGTCGGAAAGCGACATGTCGATATACTGGCCTTGGCCGGTGGACGCCCGCGATAGCAGCGCCGCCAGGATAGCGTTGGAGGTGTACAGACCTGTCGTTAGGTCGGTCACCGCGACGCCGACCTTGACGGGAGGGCCATCGCGTTCTCCTGTTATGTGCATCAGACCCATTTCCCTATATACAAGACACCAAATCGTGACAATTAGCAGAAATCCCATAGAATATTACAAAACAGGGTCGTATCAACATACGCCTCTACCATGACGTCGTAGCCCGCTCGAGCTTTGTATGGACCTGTCTGGCCATAGCCTGTAATGCTGGCATATACCAGTCCCTTGTTCTGGGTCGACAAGCTGGCGTAGTCAAGACCGTATTTTGCAAGAGTACCCGGGAGATAGTTTTCCACCAGTACATCCGCCTTCCGGGCGAGGTCCTTGACGATAGTCTGGCCGGCGCCGGTCTTGAAGTCCAGCGCGAGAGAGCGCTTATTCCGG